TAATAGATCCATTTGAGACAGTCTGAGGTGGCAGGTTGGACGCTGAAAAGGAACAGACAAGTCAGATCTTGGTATTCCATGCAGGTTGCCTGTAGCAAATGCAACATGCGACACCACTGCTGTGTAAAAGGTTTCATATATCTATGAATGTTTATTTTCAAATGGCATGCTATGTATGACATGCCACCTTGATATGAAAGCACCCAAATAATTACAGAGTGAAATAAAAATGTAGAATAAATTATTATTAACTATAATTTTAATTTCAAAGATGGGTTACGTGCTGCTGCAGTTTCACAGCATGTGTGTATGTATATATATGTGTGTGTGTGTGTGTGTGTGTGTGTGTGTGTGTGTGTGTGTGGCTGGGTGGCTGGGTGCGTGCGTGCGTGCGTGCATGCGTGAATGAGTATCTATGTCAACTTGCTGATCTTCATCTTTTATTTGTTAAATGTAATCAAATAACTCATTGTCGCTGACAATTAGTCTTTCTTCCCCCTGTAGGGATCCACTGAAACACAGTCTTTCTCTCCTTTATATAATCATCACATAATATAATATAAAAATCATCACTTCACACAATGATATATGTACACAGTATATATATTCTTTTTTTACCAAAAATTCTTATTCACATCACCAATTGTATCTCATCTGATAAAACAACAAGACTCAATAGCAAAATGCTATTACTGTAAACATCTAATACAATTGGGTAACAGTAAAAGTCTCTTAAAAATGTAATATATCTCTTACAAAATGGATTTGTACTTCTAAAACATCTGTCCTGCAAATCATGTTGATCCCAATTTCCGAGACCACCAAATTGTCCAAATATCTTCCTCTTCCATCCTGTGGCAGACAAAAATGTAACAATTAGTATGATACTTGCAACAGATAACAATCTTTCAATAAATCCATATTGCCGCATTCAAGTGTAATGTGCCTTTACAACCAAATACATGAAACACTGTCTAAATTAGGTATCTGTAAGCCTGCCACACTTACACATCAAGCTGCCAGCCCAGCTGTGTTTTGCAGAGGTCTTTGAGGCTTTGTTTTTCCACTGTACTCACAGGTGGGGTGAACTCCAAGCCTTCCCGCACTTTAATCCCTCTGTTAGCCAGGCCATTCAGCAGCTGTCTGCACACAGCTATGTTCTCAGTAGCACCCGGGAACTTAAGAAAACTGTACCTGGAAGCAATACTGGCAAGATTAGCATTTCTTTTGTGAAACTGTGTAATATGAATGTGCATCACAACAAGCATATGTGTATCATTATCTTCAAAACTAACTTTCCCTCATTCATTCATTAAGGGTACCGTCCCTGAGAGAGGGGGGGGAGGGGGTTAAATTAAGATAGTTAGCGTATAGTATAGGTACATGGATGAGGAAACTACCAAACGAGTATTAACCGCCTGCTATGGCTCGTTGTCTTGCAGCCGGCGTGCGAGTCCCTCAGCATCCGGAGAGGTACGTCGCTAATGAGCGCCCAGGTACACCTATGTGGACTTTTGCTTACGGCAATCGTGCATAAGGCATTTAATTATGACATTGCGCATAGATATGAGTTCGTGAATGTTCAAGGAACACTTTTATACCAATATCAGGAAAAAATTATATCACCGTGATTTATGGCAAAATATTTTGTGAAATATATATAAAAAAAAATGTGTTTTGTGTCCTTTTACACACGAAATATGCTTTGATCGAGACTCCCTGGTAATATGTTTTAGTTTACGTGGTAATATATACGTATATCACATACAAAGCACTAATGTTTAAAAATAGCCTTATAAGGAAGGATTGAAATATTTCCGTTACATTTCACTCAACGGTCGGTACATCACAGCAGGGGGCAATTTGAATTGATTTGGAATTGGTAGTTACTGTTGTAAAGACCAATTCAATACGAATGTTACCTAAATGTCAGATTTTTAAACTTCGGATGTATAAGCGAGATACACATTATTTCATGTTGAAGATGATAGTACTCAGTAATACCTGCTCTGAAATAAAAACTATATGGAATTTTGAGCTCGGTTGTATGGGTAGTCTTCATCTGGCGTTCAAAAAGCTATCGCATCCGTTTCGTGCATTCCCGATAAAAATGAATATGTTTAGACGTTACCGTATGTCTTAGGCACCATAAATTGGCAAATATCCCACAACACCTAGGCGTCTGCATGATTTTATGCACTTCTTAGTAAAGATAATGGGTGCAAATGGCTAATCATAAACTATATACTTGTTCTCCTTTGCAATCTGTTAATATTGACAATTATCAAAGAAAATGATATGAGAGGGATAACTAATATATTTTATTATTTAGATATGAAAGTCAATGTAGGCCTACTAAATTATGATGATTAATCTTTTTAACTTTATGTGCGTGGGTTCACGTACATATGATCCTCCTCGAAAATTATAAACACCCAGTGACCATCCCCCCCCCATGAGGCATGGGAAATATTCAACGACTTTCGTAAGTTCTCGAATTCAATGTACTAAATTCATATGCTTTTAAAATTCTCAAAATTGAACCACCATGTTGTATTCATGCCAGGACTTTATAATAAGAATGATTTTGTACTAATGTTGCCATCCACAGTTTTTCTTCAAAAAAAAAAAATAATAAAAATAAAATGGAAAAAAAATAAATAAATAAAAAATTAAAAAAAGGTTTTTATCTGGTTTAGATTAGTTGTCTCTATGGTAAAATGCATTTATTAAGCTTTTCACACGAAAATATCAACTTTTATGAACAACGAAAAAAAAAAAAAGTGACATACCTTTACAAAAACTAAAATTCCTATTGACTTGGTAATCATTGCATTGCAAAGTACACTAAATAAGCATTTTTTTTTTATATAATATCATTAGATTCAGAGAAAAATAACAGAGATAACAAACTTTGGCAAGGGGCCAAATAAAAAACACCATAGCTCCGTCATTTTATTATGAATCTTCGGTACATCCCAACTCATGTAATTTTCATGCGATCCAAATGCAGTTTGTTGCTTTCACTAGAGCCTCGGCGTCCCAAGGCCATATAAAAGGCCGATTTTTGAATTTTTGCCTTAATCAAAAAAATAATAATATTTTAATGCTGAAAAAGAAATCAAAAATAGTTCTCTATGTGAAGCTGTCCCCCGCCAAAAAAAAAGGAAATTCAAAATTCGTCCTTTTACATGGCTATAGGCAAGAGTTGATCTAACACAAGTATTTTGGGGGGAATATTCTGTAAAGAGCTCTGATAGTTGGGATGTACTGAAGACATACCAAAAAAAAAAACTGATTTTTTTCGACTTTTTGCTCCCCGCAAAGTTAAAATTTATATATATAACGGGGCGCAATTCTTAACTCTATAGCATGCAAAAAGAATCAATCAGTTATCTCTAACTGATATTTTTTTATGATGTATAGAGTAGGGAAAGGTGGCCATTTTCAGGGACGGTCCCCTTAATACTCTAATTTATGTATTAATTCATCTGTAATATTATTTTTTTTCTCTTTCATTCATTCACTCATTAATAATCTAATATTCTATTTCTTTCTCTCCCTCTCATTAATTCTTGATACAATTTGTTTGCTTTGCTTGAAAATAATTAAATGAAGCCAAAAGATAGAAAGACAAAATGATAATGGCATTGGCCAGCATCTAGAAAAATTCAAATACATCTCTCTCTCAGTCTTGCCAATCATCAGTATAATGTCAGAATCCTATTACTAATCCTTGCTGTTGCAATCATTGCCTTATATAGAAATTGGGCTTTCAGCTGTCTATTCTTATATGTCTAATACAATTTCATATACAAACAATTTCCATATACCCTTTGTGGTTGTCAACAGGCTGTAGTGATTGGACGGCCTCACACGCCCAATCAACTTCTGTTTCATTTGTGCAGTTGAGTGTCAGGTTCAAATTCTGCACTGCTGGTAGTGGTCTCATCATCGTCAAAGCTACTCTCCTCTTGACATGCAACCCTGAAAGATATTATGTTGTTTAAATTGCAGGTGCTTGCAGGTATAAAGTTCCATCATTAAAGAGGTATCCATTATAATCTCTTTACGATTACAAGGTATGAATGGCTAGCTTTTACGAAGTGGTAATGTTACCTGAATTTTATCCATGAACTGAATCTTTAAATACCAGGAAAGAAAAAATATACTGACACTTATTAAATATAATCTATCACTCAAATAACAAGATATAAAAAACAAATCAAGCTTAATTTGTTAAAGAATATATATAATACTTCTACATATATCTATATTAACACAATTATTCTTTAAAGCTTACAAAATAGCATTATTACAACATACACTAAATAAGCTAGGCATAATGGCATTACATTTGACAGGCCTTTTCTATTTTGAACATTTCTTAGTTTAATCATTAGCACCAACAAATGCAAAAAAAAAAAAAAAAAAACTCACATAGATGTGTTAGTCGTGGTTGTCTATCTGGGATTAAATTCAATACCAAAACCAGAAATTCATAATGATTGTCGTCGAGCACTGTCAGACTAAGATACTGTAGATGGCTTGGAAGAAGTACTGCAGCAGCATGACTAAGTATCCCACAAAAACCTGTGACTCTGCTTCTACAAAAAGGTAAATAATTAACATTTATAATAATACCAGATGTATATAAACATTTGAGAAATTGTCTCTTTAATAATACAAAGCATACCATCAAAAAGTTACTGGGAAGCTCTGCCTTCAACTTGCCTGAGAATATCAGGAAAGTTTGTAATAAATTGTCTTTTTTCTTCTTCTTCTTCTTCTTCTTTTTTTTCATTTTCTCCCATTAACCTTGAGATAATTTCCTGAATTTTGCGGAGTTCACCCCATGAACCCACTCACAAAAGGAGCCCCTAGCATCATATCAAACCACATATTGGGCTGTGGTTGCAGTCAGTCTCACAGGAAAAATCATGAGCGGAGGGAACATCGAATTACCCTGCTCTTTATGCTGTGGCCTGTGGTACAGGTGAACATTTGGGTTCTGAAGCTACAAGGAGGGGTTGTTTCCCTATCAATAACAGCGGGGACAAACAGTGCACAAATATCCAACACACACAACTTTGACCAGGCTTGACAATGCCTGACATGAAGACATTATCCTGGTGTGATAAGCAATCTACTATCATTTTTAGATTAAGCTTTTTTATCACAAAACCAATTGTGTATTCATTTTGTTCCTTCTAAGGTCTCACTCTACACCAGTGGTTTCCAAACTGTGGGTTTTGGACCCCTGGGGGGCCATATAGCAGAATGCAGGGGGCCATAATCTGAGTGTGGCATTAACTGACTCTTCAATCCGCAGAATTTTGTTTTATCTTGTTTTGTGTGTTTATTGTTGATGCAGCTTCCAGCAATATATCCATTTTTTTTATAACAGTATACTCTGAGTATAGAAATTTCTTGTGCACTATGTTATTAAATTTCTTTAGTGTCATTTCAAAAATGTCTTTATTCCTACTTCACAAAAGAACAAAAAACACATGAAATCAATAAAATTACAGGGATTGCCAGAGTGGTTTATATATGGAGCTAATGAGTGTAGGACTGTGGTCACTGTATTCATGGGTTATGCCTAGTGGTGGGCCATGGACAAATATCCTGTATGAAAAGTGGGTAATGACCAGAAAAAGTTTGGGAACCACTGCTCTACACACTGGTGCATGTAATTCTTGTAAAACTAACATCAAAAAAGTTTTTAGAATTTCAAGATGTTTGGTTTGAAAAAAGATTTCAGATGTTTAACAAAAAAGTGATATAAACAGAAAATAGATAAATATTTAAAGCAGACATTTACCTACATCTGTATTCATAAACTATATCATTTGCCTACACTATTTTCAACATTTCCTACTGCAATGAAAAAAGGGCAAGCATTTGAAAAGTCTTGGCTCACAAATGTAAAAACTAAACTTCAAAACTTGATGGTATCCTCTTTCAATACTAAACACAGTTTATTTACAACAAATGTAGAAAAGAAACAAATGAAAACAGATAACCACAAAAGATGTGAGATATTCCATTTCTGTACAACAATCAAAATTACATTAGAAAAAATACTAGTGCATTATTTTGATCTTTTCATTTATATCTTTTTTTATCTGAAGTTATTCATTCTTCATACATCTCCTACATTATTGGCATGTACATCCACTTCTGTCTTTAGTGTCAGAATATTGAACATACTTTAAAACAGGTGTAGGTATGATCTTACCTCTGAAACATTTCCTGTAGAGATTTATCAACGTCACTATTTATGCTTGTAGGATTCGTAAAGTCTTCTTCAAGACACACCTTTACCTCCCAGGACTCTTGAAGACTCATGAAAGCCTCTTGCAGGGGAACATCTTCTGGCCTGCTACTAACTGTGATCAAGACACTCTCTGGTTGTGCATATTTCAAGACTCTCGTATACGGAGTAATGCGTCTGTCTGAAATCTTAATGTGTCCTGTCAGATTCATCATACCTGCAAAGTATTTAACCAAAGTGTCATCACAATTAATAAGTGAGAGTATACAAAGCCACTGACGGTTTTTTTCAACACCTGAATCTTTTAATAATGTAGTAATTTCTTCAGCTCTCTTCTCATCCAATGATCTTCTCTGATGCATAAGTCCAGCCAGATGAACTAAAATGCCCCTAAGGTTTTTCTTTTTCTTTTCTTGCTCTGAATTTTCAACAACTTCCTCAAATACTTGGTCAAGTACATTCATGATAGTCCTAGAGGAATTACAAGATTCATATTCTTTCAGAATATTAGGTACAGGAGTAAGTATACGTTCAATGTACTCTGCAGGTATGCAGTTAATCTGAAGACAGATTTCAATGTCACATAATATTTGAGATATACTCAAATCCTTAAGAACATCATTTATATACATAGCCACATAAAATTCCTGCAAATCTTTATGAGGAAAACTGTAGATGATATTTTCATTATCACCAGAAGTTTCTTTGACTAAAAAGCCACTGAGAATCTCATCCCCATCCAAATTTAAGTCATCACAAGTAGCAGAAAGCCTTTTTACTGAAGCCTCTTCTAATCCAATGTTATCTTTTATAAGACTTATCAAAGCTTCTTTATAAAGCACCTTCAGACATTTTTCAATCTTGCTTCTTGTTGCACTTGGATCTATATTCCTCTTTTTTACACCTCCTAAAAGCCGGCTTTCTACTTTTTTCTTGCTTAATCTGCATGTCTCTACAAAAAGTTCTGTTGCAGTGGTCAACCTATTAACTGCCTCAGAGTCGTGAAACCACAAAATCGTGAGTAGGACTAAGTTCAAGGGCAGGTCCCAGTGATGTTGTTGCAAGATTTCTCTCCTGCTTAGAAAGCTCAATAGGCTTGGTTTATCTTTACCTTCCTCTTGACCAAAACCAATGGCTTTACTATACCTAATTACAAAGTCTTCTCTACATTTTACTGGGATTCCTTTAACTTCCACATCTAATATTGCAAAATTCTCTGGGATCTCTGATTTGATGGCTTTCACTTTGCAGGGTCGTGTTGTACATAATATTACAATGTTATTGGATTCACCCATCTGTAAGATATCCCTGAAAACTTTCTTTGATGATGGGTTAAGTTCATCATATCCATCAACAACAAATAAAAATTTTTTGTCCCGGAGCTTTCCTACAAGCTCTTCTTTTGGAATATCCTGACTTTCCCTTGGCAAGAGAGATGCAAGAAGCTCAGGGAGGGATTCTACATTTTGCTCTCTACATTCACAGTACAACACAAAGTCATATTCTTTCAAATGACTCATAGTACTGGCGTCTTCATTTGCAGACCAATCATGGATAATTTTTCTTGTTAGCGTTGTCTTGCCTACTCCTGCTGGCCCTTCTAAAATCAATAAAATATTGGTCTTGTTTGTCTGATCCAATTTCCTTTTCACAAGCATCAGTAACTCATCATATTTAATCTCAGGATGTTCATTATCTTCATTTTTGTTTAAAGTCATTTTCATTTCAGTAAATACATCATTAACTTGTATAGTTCTTGCCTCATTAAATAGATTAAAGAGAGATGAAAAGACTGACAACCTACTATATGTATGTTTCAAGTCAGTCACAAAAACATTTTCTATAATGCTTGTTTGTTCAGAATCTAAGATGCAGGTTATGTCATGGTCTAGCTCGTCGCACAATTCTTTACATTTTACATTATCAATTTGATAACGTTCTGCTGCATTTATCAAAATCTTTTTCAACACTTCTTGAATCTCCTGCGCTCTTCGTAAATGTGTTTCAAAATCAAAATCATTCCCTTCATGAACTAAACGATTCCTCATGTTTCTGAGGGTAGCTAAATGATACTCCAGGGTATCTCCTGGTGTTCCCCAAATTACATCATTTTGAGGAGCCATGCCAGGAACACATTTCAACAATTTATGCATTAAAGTCATATCAAATTTGCTAAGGTCTGTAGGTTGTTCAAGAAGTTCACGTTCATGCCTAACAAATTGTTTCCTAAGCACAATCCCACGATCTTTCAGGGTTACTGCAATGGGAATATGCCAGGGATATGTATAACCCCATCTGAAAACTTGCTCTTGCACACCCTTTCCTCTTTGCACTATTCTAAACAATTTCGAAAACATCAAACTAGAGTCTTGTATTTGATTCTGTTCATTAGCCATTGCTGTATTCAAAATCCTTAGGTTCCTATAAATATAAAACTGTAAGAGAGAGAGAGAGAAAAAAAAAATTAATTTCATCATGTGACGGGCACCATTTGCCGTATCCTAGAAAGTGTATTGTACATACAATATCATGAATACTGTATATGCATTCACGTGACAACATATCATCACTATATAGCAAGATATCAAAATATCAGAATAAAATTTTGAAAAAGATGACACCTATCAATCACTATCACTGTTACCCATCAAATGATTAAGATTACAAGAAATTTTATCAAGAAATATTCAGAATTTAAAAGGTATCAGTTGGAGGAGAATCTTTAGAACCTTAGTGTTCAGCCTTAAACACGAAGTCTAGCATTGCAGGTTTCTCGGTTTTGAGAGAAAGGGGAATAATCTATGAAATCCTCCTTTGTATTCTAACTTTTAATTCAATTTCAAACAAAGAGAGAAAAATAAGGGTCAATTAGATCATAATTCTAATTTCTAAATATCTGATTTTTATACTAAAATTCTCCAAAATTAAAGAAATACTGAGAAAACTCATTTTTGGGGTACAGGTCCAGTTTCATACAGCTTTCTTTTAGACAAAAAACAATATATACAAATAGTAGAGCGAGTGATTCCAGAGATAAATTTGGAAAGGTGGAGAACAGCATTGGAGGAAAGAGGAATGAGAATAAGCAGGTCCAAAATTGAATATATATACACCAGCAGTGATGGGGAAAGCAGAAGGATGGATGGAGAAGAGCTAAAGAGAGTACAGAAGTTCAAGTACTTGGGGTCCATAGTGGATGACAGTGGGAACATGGATGAAGACGTGAAGCACTGAGTACAGGCAGGGTGGAACAACTGGAGGTCTGCCTCTGGGGTCCTCTGTGACATGAAAGTACCTCTAAGACTGAAGGGAAACTTTCATACAACAGTTATTAGACCAGCCATGTTGTGTGGAACAGAAGCAGTATGTATGAAAAGGACAGAGGAGAAAAGGATGGATGTAGCAGAAATGAGAATGTTGAAGTGGATGTGTGGGGTAACAAGTGAGGAGAGGATTAGGAATGAGTACATAAGAGGGTAAAAAAGGTAGTAGAAATATCAAAGAAAATGTGGGAAGGGAGACAGGAGGTACAGACACCTGCTGAGAAGGGATGAAGACCATGTTGGAAGACATACAACGGAGATGGAAGTTCAGGGTAGAAGGGAGATGGGAAGACCCAAGAAAGAGGTGGCAAGACTGTGTAAGGGATGACTGTAGTTGAAAGGTATCACAGAAGAGGAAGCACAAGTTCGAAGTCAGTTGAGGCGGCTCATCTGTAACAGCGACCCCATGTAGTAATGGGAGAAAGCTGGTAAGATAAGGCGAGTGATAAACACAAACCGCAGGAAGAACTCCCTGGCGAGAGCCCGTGAAATGAAAGATAATAGAATTAGCAACAGGGTTGTAAACGTATGCTTTATAGGAAATTCCAACTGCTATGAACAGCACCTTGGCTCAGAAACTGTGATGTCACAACTGTTGTTTTCTTGTAAAGGCTTATTTTTGAGCGCATTTAGTAATTCCCTCCAGCAACTATCTTTCAATTTTCATTATTGACCACAGAGTTGTCAAAAAGCATTTGCACTGGCCTATACCAAATAGTCTTCGGTCTACACTCGAGGATTTTTGGGTGGGGCTACGTGACGTCATATTAATACCAAGAACCAAGGTCTATAAAAGTACTTATATAGACCTTGCCAAGAACCGCTATAAGGATATTTGTTTTCGTGTATATTTCGGTTATATCAAATACCTCTGAAGTAAACTGAAATGTTCGCTTTTATTTACTCTTAATAATCGTTCCATGCCGCCAGTAACCAGAAAATACATTTTCATTACAGAAGCCAATGGAAGTTCGCCTTCTGTGTTACATTTTCGTTTACATATATCATATATGATGTATTGAATCCAAGAAAAGTAAACAATATATTCTATATATATCTGCCTGTGATATCATATAAACAATTATTCTGTCCTTTCTGGTATCAATCATCTACCAACTCGGACGTCATACCCTACCGGCTAGACGTCATACCCGACCGACTCCACTACTACGTCATCGCAACGTCATAAGGAATAGCAGAAGCTATTACTGGTTTGACAGCCCTGGCGTGGACTGGCTTATGGGGCGGGCACTGTGCCGTGTTTTCTCCACTACCGATAGAACGGAATGTCGAGAAAAATCCTGAGTAATGCGGCGTCAGCGCAATAGATGGCGTTAGTGAACATCTCGTGACGCCATCTCATACTGTCTGTTTGTTTACAGAGAACGTGACGTCATCTCATACCATCTGTTTGTTTACATAGAACGTGACGTCATCTCATATACCGATACCGTCTGTTTGTTTACATAGAACGTGACGTCATCTCATACCGTCTGTTTGTTTACATAGAACGTGACGTCATCTCATACCGTCTGTTTGTTTACATAGAACGTGACGTCATCTCATACGTCTGTTTTTTACAGAGAACGTGACGTCATCTCATACGTCTGTTTGTTTACAGAGAACATGACGTCATCTCATACCGTCTGTTTGTTTTCATAGAACGTGACGTCATCTCATACCGTCTGTTTGTTTTCATAGAACGTGACGTCATCTCATACCGTCTGTTTGTTTTACAGAGAACGTGACGTCATCTCATACCGTCTGTTTGTTTACATAGAACATGACGTCATCTCATACCGTCTGTTTGTTTACATAGAACGTGACGTCATCTTATACCGTCTGTTTGTTTTCATAGAACGTGACGTCATACCGTCTGTTTGTTTACACATCTCATACCGTCTGTTTGTTTTACATAGATGTGACGTCAATACCGTCATTTGTTTTGACGTCATCTCATACCGTCTGTTTGTTTACAGAGAACGTGACGTCATCTCATACCGTCTGTTTGTTTTCATAGAATGTGACGTCATCTCATACCGTCTGTTTGTTTACAGAGAACGTGACGTCATCTCATACCGTCTGTTTGTTTTTTGAGTTTACATGTGACGTCATCTCATACCGTCTGTTTGTTTACCGTCATCTCATACCGTCTGTTTGTTTTCATAGAACGTGACGTCATTTCACACCGTCTGTTTGTTTACATAGAATGTGACGTCATCTCATACCGTCTGTTTGTTTACATAGAATGTGACGTCATCTCATACCGTCTGTTTGTTTACATAGAATGTGACGTCATCTCATACCGTCTGTTTGTTTACGACGTCATCTCATAATTTGTTTTGACGTCATCTCATACCGTCTGTTTGTTTACAGAGAACATGACGTCATCTCATACCGTCTAGAACTGACGTCATCTCATACCGTCTGTTTGTTTACAGAGAACATGACGTCATCTCATACCGTCCATTTGTTTACAGAGAACATGACGTCATCTCATACCGTCTGTTTTGTTTCTAGAACGTGACGTCATCTCATCGTCTGTTTGTTACAGAGAACATGACGTCATCTACCGTTTGTTTACAGAGAACTGTCATACCGTCTGTTTGTTACAGAGAACGTGACGTCATCTCATACCGTCTGTTTGTTTAGAACGTGACGTCATCTCATACCGTCTGTTTGTTTTCATAGAACGTGACGTCATCTCATACCGTCTGTTTGTAGAACGTGACGTCATCATACCGTCTGTTTGTTTACATAGAATGTGACGTCATCTCATACCGTCTGTTTGTTTACACGATACCGTCTGTTTGTTTACAGAGAACGTGACGTCATCTCATACCGTCTGTTTGTTTACATAGAACGTGACGTCATCTCATACCGTCTGTTTGTTTACAGAGAACGTGACGTCCGTCTGTTTGTTTACACGTCATCTCATACCGTCTGTTTGTTTACGTGACGTCATCTCATACCGTCTGTTTGTTTTGACGTCATCTCATCGTCTGTTTGTTTACAGAGAACGTGACGTCATCGCATACCGTCTGTTTGTTTATATTCATCATCCATACCGTCTGTTTGTTTACAGAGAACGTGACGTCATCCCATACCGTCTGTTTGTTTACAGAGAACATGACGTCATCTCATACCGTCTTTTTGTTTAAATAGAATAAACAGCTTATATTTCATGTTTTTCCCAAGGAAAAAGAAAGGTTTGCAATATTTTATGCTTTTTAAGATTTTAAGTTTTAAGGGGAGCGCTTGAGCAAGAATCCTTGCCAATAGGCCAAGAACTGTACCGTTCCCTGCTTAAAACGCCTTTAGATATGTGATGTTCAGATTGATCTAAGCAAGATATAAACTCGATCACAAGAAATTATTTTGATTGGTAAAGGTGTCAAACCATGACACCCTCTAAAAAGCAGAAGCAAAAAATCGACTTGATATTGTAGTGTAAGCCTTTATCTACAATTTGAAGTAAGCTGATGATAGATTTGACATCAGTATAGTGAATAAAAAAAAAAATTGTCACGTTGATTTTGAGTTCAATTATAGTTATCACCCAAATCAGCATATATATATATATATATATATATATATATATATATATATATATATATATATATATATATATATATGTATATATACATATATATATATATATATATATATATATATATATATATATATATATATATATGTGTGTGTGTGTGTGTGTGTGTGTGTGTGTGTGTGTGTGTGTGTGTGTGTGTGTTAATTTCTATGTATTGATGCATGTTTGGCAATATATTTATATATGACATATATTTGAAGGAATTACTTGAAGAAAATAAATGCTACCACAAAGTCATAATACAATATGAATTATCTTGATATATATAATTATATATGTTATAAATAATTCATAAGTAGAAAAGCAATTTACAAACCTCTGAATAAGTCTGAACTGACAAAGAACATGAGCACGAGTGAAGACGCTCCCACAGAACGACGTCGGCCGTTTAGTTGGGCGTCGAGTCAACAGATGGCGCTGGTGGACGACCGGGGGCTCACATTTTTTCAAATGCGTTAGATAGCAAGTTTCCTCTCTTTCGTGAATAGTCTTCGATGTAAACAAACCCAATACGATCTCGTAAATCCGACCCATGGCGTTTTAGTATTAATAAGTGACACTCTTTCTAGCTACTGTCTTCATGGCTACTGTGAAAAAAGTCAAGCTTGATGTCCGACCATTTCAGTCATCATGGACAAATGACTTTGGGTTTATTCAGCAGAATGGTCGCGCCGTGTGTGCTCTCTGCCGTGAGGATGTCGTGTGCCGCACATCGAGTGTTAAAAGACACTTCGAAACAAAACACGGCAAGACCTTCAAGGATAGTGCAGACAAGGCAGAAGCTATTCAGAAAGCAGTATCTCGCTATGAGAAGCAAAGTAATGCATTTGAAAACCAGGGGACTAGCAAAAATAAAGCAACAGGGGGGCAAAGTAATGCTTTTGAAAACCAGATGACTAGCAAAAACAAGGCAACAGAGGCGCAAAGTACTGCATTTGAAAACCAGAGGACTAGCAAAAACAATGCAACAGAGGCCAGCTACAAGCTGGCTCTGTGTATCGCTAAGCACGGTAAGCCTTTCACTGATGGAAGTTTTATAAAAGCAGCTTTCCTAGAGTGCTCTGAGGTGTTATTTGATGGCATGTCAGACAAACACATGATCATCTCAAGGATAAAAGACATGCCTGTCTCAGCTAGGACCTTGGAGAGACGTATTTCTGAAATGGCTGATAATGTAAATGCGCAGCAAACTGCTGCTTTAACCACTACACCTGTGTTCAGTGTTGCCCTGGTTGAAAGCGTGGATATAAATGACATTCCCCGGTTGGCTGTATTTGCCAGGTATAGTGACACAGAGATGCATGAGGAGCTCTGCTGTCTGAAACCTGTGTGTGGCACTACCAAGGTAGAAGACATACTGAAGACTTTCACTGAGCATTTTGAGGACAGAGGGCTTGACATAAGAAAGATTTTTGCTGTTACAACGGATGGTGCCTCTGCTGCTGTAGGAAACAAGGGTTTTACTAAGATGGTTGAGGATAAAATTGGCCACCCCATTCTGAAATTGCACTGTATACGTCATCAAGAAAATTTATGTGCCAAGATCTCAGGCTGTGATCTCAGCAAGGTGATGACTACTGTTACAAAAGTAGTGAATTTTCTTCTTGCAAACTCTTCTCTTACAGACAGACAGTTTCAAGCTTTCCTTGAAGAGGTGGACAGTGCTTACAAAGATACACCCTTGCATAGCAGTGTTAGGTGGCTAAGCTGTGGGAAGGTATTGGAGAGATTTGTGGAATGTTTTGATGAAATCAAGATTTTCCTATCAGAAAAAGACCAAGACTATCCTGAGCTGGAGGACAGAGATTGGATTGTGAAACTTGTGTTTCTCTCAGACATCACCAAACATCTAAATGACTTCAATCTTCTCTTGCAAGGTGCAGGAAAAACAGTGATAGATTTGTATGATACTTGGAAGGCAATTGTTGCAAAGCTTACAATTTACTCAACAGATATCAAAACTGGTTCTTTCCATTATTTCAAAAACTTGAAGAACTTATCTGCAATTCATCCTGTCAACACGACTGATCTTCAGGTGTATATGAAACAATTAAAGTCTGAATTCTCAGACAGATTTCAAGATTTCCAACACATGGGTCCAGTGTTTTCATTTTTAATCAGACCAGACACCTTCAAATATGGTGAGTTGGACATACCTCTCTTTGAGTGGATGGAAATTGACGAGTTGGAAATGCAGTTAATTGACTTTCAGGCCTCATCACTGTGGTCAGCTAAATTTAAAGATCTTCGAGAAATACTGGAAACTAGTCGGAATAATCATGCAGCCTCCATTTTAAGTTCCTGGACATCACTGCCTGATAAATTTAATTGCATGAAGAAAGTAGCTTTTGCACTGCTATCAGCATTTGGATCCACGTATCAATGTGAGCAGATATTTTCACACATGAAGCATACCCTCAACCCCCATCGCAGCAGGCTTACAGTGGATCATTCTGAGGGTTGTGTGAAGCTCGTATCCAGATATTCACCTGAAATAAAAAATTTGGCCAAAGGAAAGCAAGGGCAAGGATCGCATTAACATGGTGAGTATGGATTTAAAATATAAAATATTTTTAGTTACAAAGATTAGTAAATACTATAAAAATGTTACATTTATGTTATACACGTGCGGGAAAATCCATTTCATTTTGATTACAGCGATCATTACATACTATGAAATTATGATTCTAATTTTCATAGGCTATGGCCGCTATTTAGTGGTGAAAAAATGACACCTGGCACGGAAAGTAGTAAAAAACATTGGTATTAACTATCAACTGACACACTTTGTTCAAAAGGTTGCCAACCCCTGGTGTATAGTCTTTGACAGTACTGTTGAAAACATGGCAACAGTGCCCACAAGCCAGTCCACGCCCCTCCTGCACAGAACCTCAAGAGTTAGTGCAATTCGTAGCAGTTGGAATTTCCTATAGAGCATACGTTTACAACCCTGTTGCTAATTCTATCATCTTTCATTTCACGGGCTCTGGGCAGGGAGTTCTTCCTGCGGTTTATGTGCTTTTTGAGCTGTGGAGAAAGTACACAGAAGTTTCTTTATCACTCGCCTTATCTTACCAGCTTTCTCCCATTACTACATGGGGTCGCTGTTACAGATGAGCCGCCTCAACTGACTTCGAACTTGTGCTTCCTCTTCTGTGATTCCTTTCAACTACAGTCATCCCTTACACAGTCTTGCCACCTCTTTCTTGGGTCTTCCCATCTCCCTTCTACCCTGAACTTCCATCTCCATTGTATGTCTTCCAACATGGTCTTCATCCCTTTTCAGCAGGTGTCTGTACCACCTGTCTCCCTTCCCACATTTTCTTTGATATTTCTACTACCTTTTTTGACCCTCTTATGTACTCATTCCTAATCCTCTCCTCACTTGTTACCCCACACATCCACTTCAACATTCTCATTTCTGCTACCTCCATCCTTTTCTCCTCTGTTCTTTTCATACATACTGCTTCTGTTCCACACAACATGGCTGGTCTAATAACTGTTGTATGAAAGTTTCCCTTCAGTCTTAGAGGTACTTTCATGTCACAGAGGACCCCAGAGGCAGACCTCCAGTTGTTCCACCCTGCCTGTACTCAGTCTTTCACGTCTTCATCCATGTTCCCACTGTCATCCACTATGGACCCCAAGTACTTGAACTTCTGTACTCTCTTTAGCTCTTCTCCATCCATCCTTCTGCTTTCCCCATCACTGCTGGTGTATATATATTCAATTTTGGACCTGCTTATTCTCATTCCTCTTTCCTCCAATGCTGTTCTCCACCTTTCCAAATTTATCTCTGGAAACACTCGCTCTACTATTTGTATATATTGTTTTTTGTCTAAAAGAAAGCTGCATGATACTGGACTTGTACCCAAAAAATGAGTTTTCTCAGTATTTCTTTAATTTTGGAGAATTTCTAGTATGAAAATCAGATATTTAGAAATTAGAATTATGATCTAATTGACCCTTATTTTTCTCTCTTTGTTTGCAGTTGAATTAAAAGTTAGAATACAAAGGAGGATTTCATAGATTATTCCCCTTTCTCTCAAAACCGAGAAATCTGCAATGCTAGACTTCGTGTTTAAGGCTGAACACTAAGGTTCTAAAGATTCTCCTCCAACTGATACCTCTTAAATACTGAATATTGCTTGAGATAAAATTTCTTGTAATCTTAATCATTTGATGGGTAACAGTGATAGTGATTGATAGGTGTCATCTTTTTCAAAATTTTATTCTGGTATTTTGATGTCTTGATATATAGTGATGATACCTGTTGTCACATGAATGCATATACAGTATTCATGATATTGTATGTACAATACACTTTCTAGGATACGGCAAATGGTGCCCTTCACATGATGAAATTAATTTTTTTTTTCTCTCTCTCTCTCTCTTACAGTTTTATATTTATAGGAACCTAAGGATTTTGAATGCAGCAATGGCTAATGAACAAAATCAAATACAAGACTCTAGTTTGATGTTTTCGAAATTGTTTAGAATAGTGCAAAGAGGAAAGGGTGTGCAAGAGCAAGTTTCCAGATGGGGTTATACATATCCCTGGCATATTCCCATTGCAGTAACCCTGAAAGATTGTGGGATTGTGCTTAGGAAACAATTTGTTAGGCATGAACGTGAACTTCTTGAACAACCTACAGACCTTAGTAAATTTGATGTGTCTTTAATGCATAAATTATTGGGATATGTTCTTGGATTGGCTCCTCAAAATGATATAATTTGGGGAACACCAGGAGATACCCTGGAGTATCATTTGACCTTCAAAAACATGAGGAATCGTTTAGTTCATAAAGGGAATGATTTTGATTTTGAAACATTTTTACGAAGAGGGTAGGAGATTCAAGATGTGTTGAAAAAGATTGTCATGTGAAGCGGAGCTTTATCATATTAATGATGGAATATGTGCAAACTTTGCCACGAGCTAGACCATGACATAACCTGCATCTTAGATTCTGAACAAACAAGCATTATAGAAAATGTTTTTGTGACTGACATGAAACATACATATAGTAGGTTGTCAGTCTTTTCACCTCTCTTTAATCTATTTAATGAGGCAAGAGCTATACAAATAGATGACGTGTTTACTGAAATAAAGTCTTATAAAAGATAACATTGGATTAGAAGAGGCTTCAGTACAAAGGCTTTTGGCCACTTGTGATGTGATTCTCTGTGGCTTTTTGGTCAAAGGAACATCTGATGTTAATGAAGATATCACCTACAGTTCTCCTCATAAATATTTGCAGGAGTTTTATGTGGTTATGAAGATAAATGATGTTCTTCAAGATTTGAGTATATCTGAAATATTATGTGACATTGAAACCTGTCTTCAGATTAACTGCATACCTGCAGAATACAGGCAACATATACTTACTCTTGTACCTAATATTCTGAAAGAATATGAATCTTGCAAGTCCTCTAGGACTATTATGAATGTACTTGACTAAGTATTCCAGGAAGTTGTTGAAAAATTAGAGCAAGAAAAGAGGTGATTAGATAAAAAAAAAACAAAGGGGCATTTTAGTTCATCTGGCTGGACTTATGCATCTGAGATCATTGAATGAGAAGAGAGCTGAAGAAATTACTACATTATTAAAAGATTCAGGTGTTGAAAAAAGCCTCTAGTGGCTTTATATACTCTCACTTATTAATTGTGATGACACTATGGTTAAATACTTTGCAGGTATGATGAATCTGACAGGACACAATAGTATTTCAGACAGTCACATTACTTCGTATACGAGAGTCTTGAAATATGCACAACCAGAGAGTGTCTTGATCACAGTTAGGAGCAGGCCAGAAGATGTTCCCCTGCAAGAGGCTTTCATGAATCTTCAAGAGTCCTGGGAGGTAAAGGTGTGTCTTGAAGAAGACTTTACGAATCCTACAAGCATAAATAGTGACGTTGATAAATCTCTACAGGAAATGTTTCAGAGGTAAGATCATACCTACACCTGTTTTAAAGTATGTTCAATATTCTGACACTAAAGACAAAAGTGGAAGTACATGCCAATAATGTTTACAAATGTAGGAGATGTATCAAGAATGAATAACTACAGATAAAAAGATACAAATGAAAAGATTTAGAAAATGCATTAGTATTTTATCTAATGTAATTCTGATTGTTGTACAGAAATAGAATATCTCACATCTTATTTTGTGGTTATCTGTTTTCATTTGTTTCTTTTCTACATTTGTAGCAGTTTTGACGTTTGATTTTTATGATTGTGAGCCAAGACTTTTCAAATGCATGCCCTTTTTTCATTGCAATAGGAAATGTTGAAAATAGTGTAGGCAGATGATATAGTTTATGAATACAGGTGTAGGTAAATGTCTGCTTTATTTTGTTTAAATATTTATCTATTTTTTGTTTATATCACTTTTTTGTTAAACATCTGAAATATTTTTTCAAACCAAACATCTTGAAATTCTAAAAACTTTTTTGATGTTAGTTTTACGAGAATTACATGCACCAGTGTGTAGAGCAGTGGTTCCCAAACTTTTTCTGGTCATTACCCACTTTTCATACAGGATATTTGACCATGGCCCACCACTAGGCATAACCCATGAATACAGTGACCTACACTCATTAGCTCCATTTATAAAGCACTCCAGCAATTCTTGTAATTTTATTGATTCTATGGGAACCACTGGTGCAGAGTGAGACCTCACAAGAAACAAAATGAATACACACATTGATTTGTGAAGAAAAAAAAAAATAATCTAAAAATAATAGTAGATTGCTTATCCCACAAGGATAATGTCTTCATGTCAGGCATTGTCAAGCCTGGTCAAAGTTGTGTGTGTTGGATATTTGTGCAATGTTTGGTCCCGCTGTTATTGATAGGGAAACAACCCCTCCTTGTAGCTTCAGAACCCAAATGGTCACCTTTACCACAGGCCACAGCATAGAGAGCAGGGTGATTCTATGTTCCCTCTGCTCCTGATTTTTCCTGTGAGGGACTGACTGCACACACAGCCCAATATGTGGTTTGATATGGTGCTGGGGGCTCCTTTCGTGAGTGGGTTCATGGGGTGAACTCCGCAAAATTCAGGAAAATATCTCAAGGTTAATAGGAGAAACTTAATGACAAGAAATAAAGAAGAAAAAAGACAATGTATTACAAACTTTTCGAGTTTTGACATTTTCAGCCAATTTGAAGGCAGATCTTCCCAGGAACATGATTGATGGTATGCTTTGTATTATGAAAGAGACAATTTCTCAAATGTTTATATACATCTGTTATTATTATAAATGTTAACTATTTACCTTTTTGTAGAGGCAGAGTCACAGGTTTTTGTGGGATACTGAGTGATGCTGCTGCAGTTCTTCTTCCAAGCCATATACATTATCTTAGTCTGACCGTGCTCGATGACAATCATTATGAATTTCTTGTTTTTCTATTGAATTTAATCCCGATTAGACAACCACAACTTGTTATCTGAGTGATGCATTGTTTTTTTTTTTTTTTTTCCTGGTATTTAAAGATTCAGTTCATGGATAAAATTCAGGTGACAAGGGGATTGCTTTACCACTTCATAAATGCTAGCCATTCATACCCCATAATCTTAAAGAGATTATGATGGATACCTCTTTAATGATAGAACTTTATACCCGCAAGCACCTGCAATTTAAACAACATAATATCTTTCAGGGTTGCATATCAAGAGGAGAGTAGCTTTGACGATGATGAGACCACTACCAGCAGTGCAGAATTTGAACCTGACACTCAACTGCACAAATGAAACAGAAGTTGATTGGGCGTGTGAGGCCGTCCAATCACTACAGCCTGTTGACAACCACAAAGGGTATATGGAAATTGTTTGTATATGAAATTGTATTAGACATATGAGAATAAACAGCTGCAAGCCCAATTTCTATATAAAGCAATGATTGCAACAGCAAGGATTAATAATAGGAAAAGCTTTGATTCAGACATTATACTGATGACTGGCAAGACTGAGAGAGAGATGTATTTGAATTTTTCTAGATGCTGGCCAATGCCATTATCATTTTGTTTAAGTCTATCTTTTGGCTTCATTTAATTATTTTCATCAACAAGTAAACTTAATCTCGAGCTGATCATTAGTTTAACAGAAATAGCCCATGAAATATGTTTTATCAAGCAAACAAATTGCATCAAGAATGAATGAGAGGCAGAAAAAGAAATAGAGCATTAATATGTAAAAATAGAGTATTAATGAACGAATGAACGAGAGAGTGAATAAATAAAAGAGAAAAATTATAATATTACAGAAGAATTGATATGTAAATTAGAGTATTAATGAATGAATGAGGGAAAGTTAGTTTTGAAGATAATGATTCACATATGCTTGTTGTTGATGCACATTCATATTACACAGTTTCACAAAAGAAATGCTAATCTTGCCAGTATTGCTTCCAGTTACAGTGTTCTTAAGTTCCCGGGTGCTACTGAGAACGTAGCTGTGTGCAGACAGCTGCTGAATGGCCTGGCTAACAGAGGGATTAAAGTGAGGGAAGGCTTGGAGTTCACCCCACCTGTGAGTACAGTGGAAAAACAAAGCCTCAAAGACCTCTGCAAAACACAGCTGGGCTGGCAGCTTGATGTGTAAGTGTGGCAGGCTTGAAGATGCCTAATTTAGACAGTTTCATGTATTTGGTTGTAAAGGCACATTACACTTGAATGCGGCAATATGGATTTATTGAAAGATTGTTATCTGTTGCAAGTATCATACTAATTGTTACATTTTTGTCTGCCACAGGATGGAAGAGGAAGATATTTGGACAATTTGGTGGTCTCGGAAATTGGGATCAACATGATTTGCAGGACAGAGGTTTTAGAAGTACAAATCCATTTTGTAAGAGATATATTACATTTTTAAGAGACTTTTACTGTTACCCAATTGTATTAGATGTTTACAGTAATAGCATTTTGCTATTGAGTCTTGTTGTTTTAGCAGATGAGATACAATTGGTGATGTGAATAAGAATTTTTGGTAAAAAAAAAGAATGTAAATACTGTATACATATATCATTGTGTGAAGTGATGATTTTTATATTATATTATGTGATGATTATATAAAGGAAAGAAAGGCTGTGTTTCAGTGGATCCCTACAGGGGGAAGAAAGACTAATTGACATCAACAATGAGTTATTTGATTACATTTAACAAATAAAAGATGAGGATAAGCAAGTTGACATAGATACTCATTCACTCACACACACACACACACACACACAGATATATATACATACATACATGCTGTGAAACTGCAGCAGCATGTAGCTCATCTCTGAAATTAAAATTATAGTTAATGATAATTTATTCTACATTTTTATTTCACTCTGTAATTATTTGGGTGCTTTCATATCAAGGTGGCATGTCATACATAGCATGCCATTTGAAAATAAACATTCATAGATATATGAAACCTTTTACACAGCAGTGGTGTGGCATGTTGCATTTACCACAGGCAACCTGCATGGAATACCAAGATCTGACTTGTCTGTTCCTTTTCAGCGTCCAACCTGCCACCTCAGACTGTCTCAAATGGATCTATTACATCCAAAATTATTTTTAGCTGATATAGCAATGTTTAAATTAAATAATATGCAATCAAAAAGGAAATCATTTGGATGCATGGCATACAAAGAGTATGCTTCGTTCACCCAGCAAGCAAGGCTTTGATGAGGGTAATCGCGGCAGTCTTGAGGGTGGAAACAGTGCAATGCGTGCCTTGCTTAGACAACAGCCCAATCAGCATAACCTTTGTACAAGCTTTGGAGAAATACAAACGTTTGTATGATACATTACCTCAGTACAAAAACAATACTCTTCATGGTAGAAGTATCAAAGTATTTTGCTGGTGAGAAAAAACTTTCCTTACAAACATTTTTAGGGTATTGGAATATGTTGGCACCACTCACAGCCCCAAAGTCCTCTACTTTATTTTTTGAAGTGACAGATAGATAATTGTCTCAAGATTACAAAGAGTAGTTTTGAAGTGTAATGAGAAATTTCCTCCAAACACATTTGATAACCCAGCTTCGTTCACCCAGTGAGCAAGGCTTTGATAAGGGAAATTGCAGCAGTCTTGAGGGAGGAAACAATGCAATGTGTGGCAGCCCTCTTGCACAACTATGCCTTGCTCAGACAATAAACCAGTCAGCATAACCTTTGTACAAGTTTTGGAAAAATACAAACATTTGTATGATACATTACCTCAGTACAAAAACAGTACTCTTCATTTTTAGGGTATTGGAATATGTCTGCCCCACTCACAACCCTAAAGTCCTCTACTTTATTTTTTCAAGTGACAGATAGACAATTGTCTCAAGATTACTTAGGACTTAGGACAACAATAACATTGTCAGGCTCTAATGATGCCATTTTGTGAACCAAATGACACATGTTCTTTGTCACTTGCTACCCACTTGATGTTACAGAAACACACGTGTTGGGAATTGAAACTCTTACAAATATCCGTCACGGAAGTAGATGGTTAACTTTCCTTGCTTTGAATGAAATTGTATTCAACAAAACTATATTTATAATTCTCAGAGAAAACTTTATTTTCATTTTCTACAATTATTCCAAAGACAAATGAAACATTCTATGCACTTTTTCACCTCACTAAAATAGTATTTGGAATCAAAAGTTTAATATATACACTGGCTATACAGCTTGAGAAACACCTAAAGCAGACAATTTACATACACTATCTGTCAAACTAGAATGAACTTAACCTAAAATAAATAAACCATATGTTAAGGTGGTCATTCAGTGTAACAGGAAGAATCTGAGGGAGAGGAAGCTGTGCAAACCGTATGAAGTTTAATGTGTGTAAGTGTACATTTTATTAATAAATAAAAATAAATAATATATATGTGTGTGTATATATAGTGATGCTGGATCATGCAGATTGATGATATTTAGGTTTCAATTAATCAAGGCCAACCACAAACAAAATTAGTAATCTTTAAAAAATACAGAAACCTAAATACAAACATCCATATTCAGCAAATATACAGTAGTCTGAAGTCTGTTCAAGAATTTATTAACAGTTTTCTTGTAAAAGTCTGAAAATAATAACAAAAATTTTTCCTTAACTTCATACAGTAATTTGTACAAGCAGCCAATAAACAGCTGTCATCATCAACCGCAAATATTTTTGGTCATTAAATAAATAACTTACTGCTAACTAGAAATGATGGAGAAAACAATATGGTACAGATCTTTTCCGTAGCAAGAGAAAAGGTAAAAATAATCACAGTAATTCTTCTCTAGTCTTGATAGAATGCAATTCACAAGTCTCTCTTGATTTGCAGTATTTTATAAAGTAATTACCAATAAAACTCAAATATTTTGATGGACCATTTAGTATTTGACAAATAGGTATAGGATTTTTTTTATTACTCCTGAGTTTCTCAGTTTTGAACAACAAGCTGATATGAAGAAAAATATTCCTCATTCCGCCATTTTTCCACGTTCTAGCCAAAAATTACACGAATCGGCAACGCTGCACAATATAACAGTATATAGCTATGAAACGGGATATAGAATCTAAAAGTCTAACGCCCTATAAAAGATAGCGAAAAACATTTTTTTTTTTTTTTATCTTTTGGTAACAGAAAATGAGGCATTGATTTAACAGATTTCTACAAGGAGTAACTAAAATATTTTTCCTACTTCTAACATTATGAAATCGCTGTACAAGTGGACTTATGCTTACATTTGACGATGAATTACTAATAAATTTTGCTAGCTTTGTTTTCTTAGATTACGTATGGTACTAGCATAGATCTGATTTTCAATAGCTATTCACATTTACTTGCACAAAGTATACTTGAGTGTTTTTTCTGCTCTTTTAGACTTTATCTCCAAGGAGGCTAAAAGTATTCCCTGTTTATTTCTGGCTAGGAAATCTGAATACATATCAATATGTATTTTTAAATATTTGTGTACCATGATATATCTATTGTTGAAAGCGTTTCCTTCAATCTGATTACTGAATCCTTTAATTGAAATAAATGGTTTCGCGAGAATTATACGCTCACCCATCTATCTATCTATCTATCTATCTATCTATCTATATTATATATATATATATATATAATATATATTATATATATATATATATATATTACACACACACACAACACACACACACACACGCGCATATATAATATATATATATATATATATATATATATATATAATATATATATATATATATATATATATATATATATATATATATATATATATTTGATACACATATATCATTGCTATAGGAACTCATTCCTGAAAATTGAATACGGGGGTGGTGGAAGAGGTCGTCCGAAATCAGCTGATTTTTGTTTTGATTCTCGAGCGAAGTTGACGTGTTTGGCCGTTCAAAAAATTCTTAATCGGAATTCCAAAGAAACGGCAGCAAGGAAAGGGAGTGAGGATAAGTAGACTTTGGGCATCAATTCTAAATGTGTAAAGCGTTATCGATGTGTATGAATAGTGTTACGACATCCAAAATGAAGCGGATTTTTGGTAGACTCTCATGCGTGATGGAGAAGGTTGGCAGAGGAAGAATTAATAGTGTTTATGATCAGTATTCTTCAGCGCCAATGCTTCGTCCTGCATCCTCTCGTGAGGACGTAGGACATTCTGTTCTTGCGCGGCGGAATTTCTTTAGTTATATGTCAAAAGACCAGTTGCAAACTCGACTGCAAATTCGTCACTATTCTTCCAACTCGTCACAGGAGAATTGCAGAACCCTGTACCACGGGAGGGTTCCAGAGTACTTGCACTTCCACCAGGAGACCAGTGTAGAAACCCAAGATGCTGTCTCGTCATCCTTTGTAGTTCTGAGAGACTTTGTTACAGAAGAAGAGGAAGAAACACTCCTAAGAGAGGTTGAACCCCATCTGAAGAGACTCCATTATGAACACGACCACTGGGATGATGTAAGGGACTGGAATCTGGAGATTATACGTGAAGGGATGTTCAGTTTTCCTTCTGTATGCATACACATGTATTTTTGAAGTGATAAATTATATTGCATTTGATAATTCATTGATGCCTGATTAACAGAACATTTTTAAAAAGACTACAGCACCACAAAGAAATACGGAATCTTGGAAAATGGTTTTAAATTTGATTTATTTTCTGTTCAAGAAAATTAACAACAATTGTGTGCAGTGTGTCTGCATACATTAGGATGTTGTCTTTAGATGTAACATGATAGTACACAAAGTATAACTTTACACTTGTTGTGTTAAAGAATTAGAAGTTTTATAATTAAATTAGGATATTCTTTTTACATGATTCATTATTTTGTGTTTGTCTTTCTGATTTTACAGGTTTTACATAGTGGCATTGCCTAAATTACCAGGATCCTTTCCTTTGTATTTATATGTAATCAGTTATACTGGATTTTTATAGAAATGTCTTCACTTGTCTCAGAATGAAGCCTAGTACTCTTAGTTGAAGGCATATCTGAACGTGCAATTAAGAAAGAAAATTGAGATAGTGATTTTCAGATAAGTTCAGAATGAAATGAATCTTGGACAAAGTAGTGTTAAATGTTCAATTGTTTCGTCTTCATTGCTGCATCATTTGAGTGAAGGGTCACTTTCAAGCTGTATCTTGATTTAGCCTATGGGTGTGTTTGATTGTTTCTTACGAGATATTTTGTGTTTTAAAATTTTGTTTAAATCCAATATCCATATCTTTTGGCTGTTTACTTTTATTTCTTTTATGCCGTTTCTTGTATCTGGGGTTATGTTTATGAGATTCACGATGTTATGAGATCTCATTGCCTCTTATGCCATTTATTCTGAGACCTATTATATTATTATTTTTTTGCTTTTGATTTGCTAATGGATATATTAGGGTTTGTATTTTATATATCAATTGCTTGTTTGTTTATTGTTTGTGATTCTCTAATGAGGCTGTTTTTTAATTAGTGAAGACTAATCCTTTTGAAATTTTGGTATTGTGGATATATATTAAATCTTGCTTTATAGTGTATGTGATTGGGCTTCCAAAAAGTATGTTTTTGATGGGTGTCTATAGTATAGTTTGTTTGATTTTTATTTTTGTTTTGTATATATATATATATATATATATATAATATATATTATTTTTTTTTCTTTTTTTCTTTCTTTCTTTCTTCTTTCTTTTCTTTCTTTCTTTCTTTCTTTTTTCTTTCTTTCTTTCTTTCTTTCTTTCTTCTTTCTTTCTTTCTTTCTTTCTTTCTTTTCTTTCTTTCTTTCTTTCTTTTTTCTTTCTTTCTTTCTTTCTTTCTTTCTTTCTTTCCTTCCTTCCTTCCTTCCTTCCTTCCTTCCCTGTGCTGAGATTTAGTTTACCAAGGTGGTAAACAGCTGATATTTAGTATAGACCCAACATTTATATTTAGGTTTGATTTTAGATTTTTGATATTATCCAGTACTCTAAGAAGCCCAAAGATTTTCCTGCTTTTTATGGGGTTATAGTCTAATATTGATGTTGTGAATTATTTCATTGGCATATTATTATGTGGCTAAAATATCCTAGTTGTATGTATTCTATTTCCTTTATGTTTTTCAGTACACATATAACCATCATTACATAATGGCCTATGAAGTATATTTGTGTCATGACTCCAGTGAGTGGATATGCTATATACATAGGCCTAACCACAAAGTCTAGATGCTGTATTTGTTATTTATCATAAATTTATGATTGGTTTCAATTTCAAACAACCTGTGGCTAGTTTCCTAGTTTCATTTCTTAGTGTTGGTAATTTTTGTTCCAGATTATTAGCAACCCCATAAAAGATTTATTGATATTTTTTTTTTTGGGGGGGGGGTGGTATGTATAGCCTGTGTAAAACTTTGTCATTTTTCCTCTATTTACACCCCAACGTGGATGGGAATTTCTTCATTTTAGTTATTCTATTTAAGACTTGTGTTCTTAACCCACTCGTGACGGTCCATCTGGAGGGCAGCTTCATTCATGCAACACCAGCTCAAATCTTCTGTGACGTGGATTGCTCTTTTTCCCATTTTCTTTATCTTGGATACAATTCTTGGCTCGGGCTTGTAATTTTCCCTTTCTTCTACTTTTTAACATGCCTTTATGTACAAAATTACCCGCATTTCCCCAACCCCACAGGATCCCCTTGTGGTCGTCGCCTTGATTTATGGGTTTTGTCTGTGCCGTCTGTGGTCCCTTTGTGAACATTAAAAATTAAAATTTTCAGTAAATCTTTTAAGTCTTGTCTGTTGTTATGGTTGTGAGTTTTTTTTTTTTTTTTTTTTTTTTTTTTTAATGCTGTTTAGGTATTATTTTGATCATCATCATTAGTGACTTGTGTCATGGGTATGAGAGTCGTCATGCTGTCTATATGGAACCAAGGCAGAACCTGATTTCAATTTGGCATTTATGTTATGATTAATTGAAGTTCTTGTAACTCTCTGAAAAGGAATCATTCATCTGTCTTTGAAATTTATTGTTTTATCCTTGCTGTTAGCTTGTTTTCCTTGCTGATTCTTTGAGTCTCTGCATTACACACACGCACACTCAGACCTACACACGCATACTCGCACACGCACACACTCACACTCTCTTTACCCACATATACAGTAAACAAAGGAATTTACATATTTACATTAATTTGCGTTTCATTTTTACATTTGTAGAAAATGGCCAATGGAATATGCAGCAGTATTTTCCACTGAGGCTTTATTTAACCATTATTTTTATTCATTTATTTATTTATTTCAGGCAATACATGGTTTTCGAGAAACAGAGAGGTCCAAGTGGGGGAAAGCCTCGTCAAAGATCCTGGCCAGGTTGCAAGAATATGCTTTTCCTAACCAAGGGGAAAAGTTGGCTCTGATGCACATCCTCGACCTAGCCAAGACTGGAGTAATTAAGCCTCACGTCGACAGCATCAGGGTAAGAAAGTGTCACCGCTTTAGCTCTCCTGAATGCCGTGACAAAAGATTAATGTGAGGGATTGCCGTGCATTGCGGGTAATGAGGGTACATGCACCTGATTTTAACACGTTGATAGCGGTAAGACATGTAAGCCTATACATGCCCAACCCATTGTGATTTTTTTTTTTTTTTTTGCACAGCTTCATAAGTCTCAGTCTCTCTCTCTCTCAATCTCTTCCCCTCTCCCTCCCCACCCCCTTCCCCTACTTGGCAATCTATACTACATCAAAATATCCACACATGATAGACAAGTTTGAAAAAGACACTTGTGCTGCAATCATTGTTTGCAAATCAAATAATAACATATCAATTTAGATATTCTCTAACAATAAAGTATCGGCAATGCATGTATTGATATCGGTATCGCTTTAACAAACTGTGAAGAATCGATGTATCAGAATCGCCATAGCCAATTTTCAATTATCGATTTATCAAGTATAGCATTAGACAATTATGTGTATCTTTATCACTGCTTGTACATACACATATATGCACATATACATTCACTCATGTACAGTTCTGTGTGTACTATTCAGTGAGGCACCTTCTACTTTCAGTTCTGTGGCAACACCATCTGTGGCCTATGTTTGCTCAGTGATGCAGTTATGAGATTAGTGAATGTGGAAGACAAGACGCAAGTAGTAGACATCATGCTCTGGCGGCGGTCGCTTTATCTCATGAAGTAAGTTTGTTTTTGCTTTTTTTGTTTTGTTTGTTTACAATATTTATTTTATTTAGATTTTACTCTAGGGTGTGGGAAGACGACACGTACTTGGGACATGGAGCAAAAATAAATTGAATTGAAAATTGATAAAATGGTTTGTAAATTAAGAACCTATACTTGTTTTAATTGTCTGATTTTGAATTAGTGTAGCGAGGATTAGAGGATTAGCAGGGAGAAAAAATTGCCCAGTTAAAGACATACAGACACAGCCAGAGATAAATGAGAGGGAGAGAGAGAGAGAAAGAGACAGAGAGACAGACACAGTCACACACACACCAACCGACAGACCTAGGCTTTACCTTCTTTACATTCATGCGCCCCTCCCTTTGCCAGGGATGCAGCTCGATACAACTACACTCACGAGGTCCTGGGAGAGAAGGAGTCCTATTTTGGTTCAGTGCCAGTGCCAAGGGAAAGGAGGATCTCCATTATGTGCCGTAACTATCCAAGGAAGGAGGATGCAACTTGATAAGCGAAAAGGTAATGAGAGGACGTTTGTGTTTTTCAGTATTTTATTTATAGAGAGAGTGTTCTTAGGTTGAATATCTTCAGAAAGGGTGTGTGCGCTTCTCAGTATTTTATTTATGGAAAAGTGTTCTTAGGTTAAAATATCTTCAGAATGCACCTTGCATTAACACAGGTTCTAAGAATACAAATTGCTTAAAACTAGACTTAAGATTGCATGAAACTAGGTTATAAGAATGCAAGGTTATCGGAACCCTATTGTCAGATTGCCCATTGTATGGAAATAGGTTTTAAGAATGCACCATGTAATCATATTGTTTTGTTTATTGAAATTTCTGCCGCATCAACATGTAAGGTCATCAGTAGCATATTTTAAAATATAGTGATAGGATTAGGCTTGGAGGCAAAACCCCCAGGTAAGGAAAGGTCATATAGCACTAGGATAAAGTACTGTAGTGAAAAAGTCAAACACGAGTTAATGATTATGACAAAATATGATAGATTTCAAAGGTTGTAGAGCGCTGTAGCTTAGTGACAAAAAGCTAGCTTTTCATCCTTTCAACATGGCTCTTAGGATGTGGACAGAAGAAGGGGATGAAAAAGAGAAGGAAAAGGAAATGCTTAATGTTTGAAACAAATAAATGTGCTAGACATCAAAGGCCATATAGTACTATTGTAAAGTATTGTGTCGGAAAGGGTAAAGAGTTAAAAATTAGGATAAAATGTGTTAGATGTCAAAGATTATAGAGCGTTTTAGGATAGTATGGTAGTGAAAAGGAAAAGAGGGGAGTAAACTAGAGGTGAGATAAGTAGAAAGGAAGGGGATTAAGAGGGTATAGGAACAATGTTCAAGGAAAATAGAGATGGCTGTTGGAAAAGTAGGGAATCCAGGGAGAGTGGGGGGGGGGGGGATGTTTGAAGTCAAAGGTTAGTGTTATAAGAAAATATGGTAGTAAAAAAGGGAAAAGAGAAGTAAATGAAGTAGAACAGGGATTAATAAAATGGGAAAGGTTAAGGGGGTAGAACAATTGAGTGCATTGCAGTGTATCTGTAACTGGGGAAGGAATGGGGACATTGTTCAAGGAAAACAGAGGTGGTTGTTGGAGAAGTAGGGGGAGAAGAGTCCAGGGGATGAGAAAGGGGGATTGGGGAAAGTGGTATCATGAAAAATATATGGAGGGGAAGGGTCTGGAGAAGGACACTCTTGTGATAGAGGGGATTTATGTGAGTATTCAGGTGAGTGCAGTAAAGAGGGTAGGGTATGTTGGGAGGGTAGGGTATGTTGGGGGGTGTAGGGGGAAGGGGGTGGCTGGAGCTTGAGGAGGAGGAGGAGGAGGAGGATGGTTATCTGCAAATATTTTACATGAAGGAGTAGGAACAGAGGGATTAGGGGGTGGATTAGGAAGCGGAGTGTTCCCTTGGATCATATTTAGGAAGTTTTGGATGTCTTCAAGGGTTTCTGGAGGGGGTTTGGTTGAAGAGGACTGAGAGACAAAGGTTCTCTTGTGAGAAGAGCAGATAGATATCTGAGGCGCAGAAGAGGAGGAAGGTGCAGGAGGTGGAATGTAATGTTTAGATTGCCTGGTGCAACAAGTAAAGTGAGGAGGAGTGGTAGGTATCGGGGAAGAGGTAGAGAGTGGAGTATCTGGATTTAGGCTGGAAAACAAATTTGATGGGTGGATAGGCTGAGTAGAGGTAGGGTGGATTAGGGTATAGGGAAGAGATACTGGGGGAGATGCAGAAACATGTTGTGAAGATGGTGGGGGAACAGAGAGGAGGACTGTTTTGGAACAAGTTGAGAGAAAAACCTCGTCGTCGTGCTTCTTGTCTGGCCTCGAGTAGAGTGAGGCCTAGTTTGAATCTGAGGACTGTTACCTCACATTCGAGCTTATAGGCAGGGCAGCTCCTATAAAATACATTATGGGAGTCTCCACAACTGGCACATGAACGTGACTGAGCAGGTCAGTGGGCTGTGGAGTGACAGTGTTTGGCTGGGTGGCCAAAACGCCAACATTTCTGACATTGATGAGGAAGGAGTCGATATGGTGAGACTTGGTAGGACAATCCACCAATATAAACTTCACGGGGAGGTTGTCTGCAGAAGCTAATCTTGGCAATATTAACATGAGACTTACGCTAAATTTCAGTCAGACCAGTTCTTGTATTTGGGGGGATAAATACCGTTCAAGTACAAGTATTAAGATAGGGGTGAGATTTGGCAGGAATTGGTTTGCCAGTGAGGTCAGTTAGGGTAGATAGTGCACGAGCTTGGGATTCCGATGTAACTGTGAAAAGGCGTGAACGAACAGAGTGACTGCGAAAGTAACCTTGCCTACTTGTTTCTGGAGGCACTGCTGAAAGACAAAGGTATTCGTAGAATAGGGGGCTGTAGGGGGAATCACAAAGAATCAGTCTCACTTGACTGGGCTAAAGAGAATACTCAAATGGTTTGCAGAGGTAGAGGCAGAAGAAGGACGATGGCGAGAAGATGGGTTGGTGTGGAGTGGAGTAGTTTTGTGGGGAGGACAATAAGGATGAAGAATAGTAATAGGGGAAGAGGGGGTAGACATTGAAGAAGACTGTACAGTAGGAGTAGGGGAGGAGAATGTTGGGTGAGAGGAAGGGGTGTTCTGAGTAATAACCTGCTTGGGTGTTTTGGAATAGATAGAGTTGTTAGTAAGTTAGTAACCATCAGAATCAAATTTAGATAGGCTATATTTGATGAAGGGGCAAGCCTTAATGTGCCTATCAAGGTAAAGAATCTTCATTATTGGCCATGGTGAGCCTGAATAAAATGGGTAAAAGAAACAGTCTACCCCTCAGGGTCCCCATAAGGGGTAAGGGCTTGGCAATTAACCAAGGGAATACCGTGCCCATGGCTTCCAGAGGCCGTTCATAACTGACACAAAGTCAGCCTTTCATCCTTTCAGCACAGCTCTCACACCTTAGGAATGGGATAGAAGGGGATGAAGAAGATACGGAAGAGGAAAGGGGAAAAGAAAAGACCAAGCAAAATTAGATGAGGTGAGGGCTGATTTCTGAGATTCGACCACATCAGGTAAATAGTTAAGGCAGTAACTTTCATTGCTGGTGTTTGTTATGGGCACAATAGTACAAGAAATATTCTGACTTTCATGTGTGAATGAAAGGCCCATTCACACAAGCACTTTTTCTGTCATTTTTTTCATTTCCGACTGAAATTGAGGCTTTCTGCAAGTGTGACATGCAAAGAGTATCGTCTCCCAGACAAAGATGGCTGGAGGTTCTGTATAACTAGAATGCTTCTCAGTTGGTGAATTAGATAGAAGTTAATATTTTTTCTTTAAAAATAATGCAATTCCCTGGATCTCACTTAGTTTGCTGTAGTGTGATAGGGTCCCCAGTCCATTTCCATATAAAAGTTCATATGGAAATGCAAAAAACGACAGAAAAAATGCTCATGTGATAAGGCCTAAACTGCACACTGAAAAGGGCTTGTCAACCAGAAGAATGAAATCCCACCTATGTAATTTTAAAGTCAAGCAGTATGTACTCTTTATGCTAAGATATATTACGTGGGTGTGTTTGTGTGTGAGCGTGTGTGAGTGGGTGTGGGCGGGTGTGGGCATGTAAAAAAGAAAGAAATGGACCTAACATCAACAGTATTGTGCTTCTGTTTCAGAGTGGTGACTTTGTGATCCAGTCAACATGTATAGCAGAGATGTAGGTGTTAATTTGAAAAAGAAAAGTATGTTCACCTTTTACTTTTTTATTTTCCTCTTTTTGATAAGAAGTTCTAATGAAACAAGACAAAGATATGAAAGAAAAGAGACAAGGAAAGGAACACAGAGGCAAGATAAAGACAAGCACAAAAACAGGAAGAAACGTGAAAAAAAGATAGCCAATGTTCAGAACAAGACAAACAAAAATGCACAAGATGAAAATAAATGTAGGTAAAAACGAGACGAAAACGGTACAACAAAGTTCTCAAAGATTTTAAAACGTGCAAAACCGAAAACGAAGAGGAAATTGCCAAGACAATGGATGTCATGTCCATAAATTTGATCGAGATAACTGAGATTACGTTTGTTGTTTGTATCAATACAAACAAAAATAACAAAACAGATCTTTTCAATCCTTATTTAAATTCATGAGATAACACAGAACAACAGGTTATCGGAATCATTTTTCTCTCATTCTCACTCTCCATCTCCCTTTGTAATAGTAAGACAAGTAGCGGTTGTGGTAATAACCGTTTATAATGATTAAAGCAGCATTGATGATTTTGATGAAAATAACAGTATTCATACTAGTAATAGCACTGAGAATAATTGTTTTAAAATGTAAAAGCAATACTAGTATTACTCAATTGTAATTACATAAAAATCTGACATTAATATTGCACACACTAATGCCCTGGTCAGACAGGTTTAACGTAAGAGTAACGCAACGGACTTGGAAATTTTAGGCCCTAAACGTTGGTGGTGAGTTACTCATTCGTCAGTCGCGCCGGTGGTGCCTTGTTGGAGCGCCGGCTTACTTTGGGGTGCGCCGATGACGAGGAGACCCCGGGAAAATTAAGGGACAACCCTAAAACTATCGGCGTAAAAAAAAATCGCCAGGTATCATCAGTACTCTCGCGGTAGTCGTACGCTTCTCAAACGTTTGTCACCCCGGCGGTACGGTCAGCCTGCGCCTGCGTTTCGTCAATATCATCGGCGAACTTGCATTTTCCGCTTTCGCTGGTGTAGGACCAGAGTAACAGTGCTGTTTTATTACACTAACGTGTGAGGGGCGTAAGTCGACGAATATAAGCGCACCATAGATTACCAATCGCTGGACTGGATTTCAAACGGATTGTTTACTGCCCCCTTGGTGGTTTTCGCTGGCTTGCGCTACTTCCAATTCGTGTTGCGGTAGTGATCCGCTGGTGGGTATTTTGTGGTGCTTTGGTGTTGCGCTGAATAATGGGCGTTTTGGGGTCATTTTGGTGAAGAAAGCCGGTGTTATGGAATAACTTTTTCAGCAATCATTACCTTGATTTACTCTAACACTACAGAAGTCTAAGGGCTTGTAAATGTATTGATGGAGAGAGTTGTCTATTATCTTAGATCACTTAGAAGTTATTGTGAAGGCTACATGACTATGAACCGAAAAAAAGTCTGATATTGGCAAGAAAATTCTATTTCATCGTCAGGAGGGGCAGTTCCCTCCACTGCCAGCATGCCACTGTAAAGAACTGTATAAATATTGAAACACATTAAGAAGACGTTAAAAGCATAAATATGGAACAGACACTGATAATTAGAAAAAAAAAACTGAACAGCACGTAGTAACACATGGACTACTTGGCATGTCGCAGCAATGAGTTACGCGGCCAGTGTCGTCTTGTCCCTCGCAATGTAAACAAGATTGAGCGCTTTCTGAGCGTTGATATTCAGAGGCCATTTTCGTCATTTAGCGGTAAATATGAGACCACTGCCGTTGCATCTTTGTTTATACCATTTCCTACGCTCTCTAAGATGGCGTGTCCAATTCCCTTTTTCTCTCGGCGTCGCTCTTGGTCATTTTTACCAGACTCTTTTCCTGTCCTTTCGGTTTCCTTAGCTGGCGCTGCCTACCTTGAAGTATCAGTCTTTTCAAAATATGTTTAAGAATGCTTGAGGATTAGGAAAGAAACGCCCTCTTGTGCAGCAGAACAGGTTTATGTATTTTCAAAGAATACAAATGGGCCGCGGGGACACCTTGACGTTGCGGTCGAGACGTGTGACCACTTTTAAACTAGAAAATAATAGACAAAACAACTAAAATATATGGGATTAAAAGTGATAAATAGATAAAACCATATATAAATCATTTATATGAAAACAAAGACTGAACTGACAGTCAACAAGTGCATCTCTCCACAAACATCATAATTTCAGTTAAGTGTATGAATTCCCACATCGTAAATAAAAAAGGGGGAAGAGATGCACGCCGCAAAGAGAAGAGATACTCATGCACGCCGCAAGAGATATCGCACACAATTCAGCATGCACACTTACTCGCAGACACGTACACGAGTCTAAACGCACGCACAATCATACGCAAATATACATATACATAAAAACATGCACATCACACACGCACATGTGTACGCTATGGTAGGATACTCAACCACACGCGGAACAATATCTGTAGTGATCATCTAAAGAGGGGGGGAGGGGGGGGTGCTGAGTGGTGTGTCGCTCTACAGAATCCTTCCTCCTGATGCGGGTCGAATCAGCCAACAGAGACCTGAAAAGACGAAAGAAATTGACTACAGATACAGCAGAAAAGTCCCCGATTGGTGTTCTGTGCAGGCGTGGCGAAACAAGACACGGTGGCGGCGAGATGATACCACTCTCCATCAGGCTGGGTAAGGTTCCTGCTTATTACCCGGAAATAATTATATGCGGATATGCTTGCGTGCCGTACGCGTAACACTGGCCAAGAAGAAAAGCCGAGCTTGACGTCTGACAGCACAGAGAGGACTGGGCCGGGAAGAGACGTAAACCAGCAACAAAAGAGTAGAGTAAGAAAGCAACAGAAGAGTAAGAACAGATTTAAAAAATAAAAGTAAAACAAGAAAATCATAAAACTGAAATAAGAGCAAGAGTTAAACAGTAATATAAGATCAGGAATAGAACAGTAAAAGCAAGATGCGAGAATGAAACAGGAAATAAAAGAGCAAGAATAAAAGTTCACATGTAAAAGTAAATAAATAAAAAACTAGTAAAGAACAGGTGCTACTTGGTGTCGAACAGCTACACAAACAAATTACAGGAACTGAAATCACAAAGGACACTGAAACCTCAAAATCAGTAAAGATTCACATGGAAAGTCCATGTCAAGAACGCTACTCAAGTTATATCCTGGCTGGTTGCTTAAGGTCACCCGTCATTCGGTCACTGATCAGCTCAAAAGCATAAAATTGGGGAGGGTATGTAGTATATCAGGGAAATTATGGGGTAAAATAGGTTTAAATGAATTTAAAATAGGTTTGAATCAAATTAGATTAAATTAAATATAGGTTTAATTTTTTCCATATATACCTCGGTATATATGACAAAATAGAGCTACATCCATACTGTAAACGATAAACCAAATACCTTTATAAATAAAAAAAAACAAAACCATGTATTCTCAAAGTGATATTTTGAAATTGCATGGCCTCCATAATGTTTCCCAGAGTTTATCAGCGTAAAAATAACGCAATAATGGTAAAAGAAATGTCTAAATATAGATTAAAACTTACCCCATGTCACACATTGTTCCGATATGGGAAGCAAATGTAAAGAGACAGTAGTATAGTTAGCTTGTTAGGAATGAATAAAGGTAATAAGGAAAACAAAAAATATAGTACCTACAATAGATAGGAAAACAAATATAATGTACAAACACGAAAAGAAGGAGAGGAAGTAAGAGAAGAAATAAAGGAAAACAAAATTATTACAAGGGAGTGTTTTCAAGTTGGTAGAAATTGGTCACAGAAAACGAAAGATAATAAACCAAGGACTGTTATATCTGGAAAACTTTCGTTCGCTAGTTTCTAAAGTCTGAATTGCTGCGTTTTTATTTATTTTTTCGGCATTTGGTGCTCTTGATGGGTCCAGATATCAAACTGGGTTATTTACTAAAGTCTTACTTCTTTGTTGCCACTTTATAGTCTTAAGAATAACTCACAATCAACAGAACACTGCAACATTTCTCACCAGCCTTCTGACACGAAATGACGAGCTGTCAAACCAAGTGGGTTGGCGACAAAGTCTAAAACGCACAATGTGCATAACATTCTAAAGAACTGTAGATAAATCGGTGCAGGTAAATTTTCAGCCAGTCGCCTTTAAAACGAAAAATAACATATGCAAGCGATAGAGCGAGTGTTTCTAAGAAACTTCTCTTCTATGTACTTCAACCGCAACTCAAAAAAAAAGTTATTAGACACGCAAGTCTATCTCAATATTTTAAAAATCGCCTTACCTTTTGTAAAAAAAAAAAAAAAAAAAAAAAAAAACAATGATGCCGTTTCCATTTTTATATTTATTGTAATAACTGATTATCGTGTGTAGATTGAGCTCACATACCGTTACATGGAGTTTTTGTTTTTGCTTTGAAAGATATAACAATACAGCACATTTACTACAATATTATCGAGTATTCATAGCAACAAAAATATTTCTTACGCTGTGCAAATCGGTCTCGCCCATATTACGAGCAAGAAGAGTGAAGAAATGCGCTGGATTTTCAAATACAAAAAATGTTATCGCATGAATTGCACGCGAAACATTTTGAAAAATGTATTTTACACTACATGCGCATGGCTGTCATGAAAACCAATAGTATTACAGCAAATGCTACTGACTAATCGCGTGACACCGTTCGTGGAACAGGTATGCACAGTGGTTGAGTAAAACGAATGGAATAACTCTTACCACAATGGACCTCAGGTGCGAATACCGTGAAGATCGACATACATGGTACTGTGGCAAATAAAAAAAAATAAACGTCGAAATAGTTGCGTTTTCTCAATCAGCGATTACCAGCCCCCTGTATAGCGATGGAGGCGCAACAATAGAAGGTTAGTAATATTTAAATTGGTTATAATGAGAACCGGCATATTACACACACAAATATTGCACGATATATATATATATATATATATATATATATATATATATTATATATATATATAATATATATATATATATATTTTAAAATATTAATCAAATGCGAGTAACAATAATTCTCTACATGTAATATTAAATGCAATATCACGGAAATGTATGAACGGTTTGGCATAATTACAGTTTATTGCATAAACTACAATTAAATCGTTGCACCATCAGCGCACGCTCGACTAATTCGGCCAAAAAGAAATCGTAGTTAGGATAAGTTAAATTAATCAGCGCGGCCTCTAAATGACCGCCATGGAATTATATAAATAGCCGCTCATACGCACATACATATACTCTACATATTAGAAGTACAAATAATTAAATTTCTTGTTTTTTACATTATTAATCATAAAGATATGTAAATTGTATCTCGAATGCTATGAAAATTTCTTCAGGAGTGCCAACATCAACGTCGATAAAGTAGACAGAAATGATGGCGGTATTTGTTACAGAGAGCGACGCACCCTCCCAGAGACAAAGTCGAAAAATTTGATTTTTTCTCCAGGGAATCCAATGATTTCATCGATTTTCAGCGTTGTTTCTTCTGCAAATTAACTGTTCTGGAGATCGAGTACCACTTTTCCATCGACGATCTTGATTTGATAGTCCCATTAGCAGGGGAGGGCATGAAGTATATCAGGGAAATTATGGGGTAAAACAGGCTTACATAAGAATAATAAAGTTAAAAATGCATAAAACTAGCACTGAAAACGCTTAAAATCGGCCAATGAAACTACAGATGAAGCCACCATCTTTGAAATTCTACATGCTGATGCGCCAGGAAAAAAAACAAACTCTACGGGAACTCAACCCATCTTTCGGCAAGTGTCTCAGGAATTTACACATTTCAAACTCCCCCCAAAATCGGATTGACCAATAAACCAACCTAATATATCAATATAAATTGGCGTGATTCTATGTAAGGGTACAGATAAATAATAAAATATGCAAATGAAGTATTACAACATTAATAAAGACTTTAAAAGCATAAATGTGTAACAGCAGATACAGATAATTAGCCAAATATCGATTTGACAAGCGCGCAGTAACACACGGACTACTTCGGGCATCGCGATAATGCGATCAGGGGTCAGTGTTTTGTTATTCCTGGCAAGTTCCTGGACTCTGAATTCTAGCGGCATCCGCACATTATATTTTCGTCATTTAGCAGTGACTGTAACGACGCTGCAGCTTAAACTATGTTCAATCCTACTCTATTTCTTCCGCTCTTTAAGATGGCGGTGTCCTTTTCTCTTTATCTACACACGTCAGTGTCTGAAACCTCTACCTAAACGTGTAATTATAAAACACTGATATTTAGCAAATTACAAAATTTGTCAAGCGCATAGTAACATGAACTACTTGGGTTATCGCAGTAATGAATTATGCAGTCAATGTTTTGTTTTTCCTGGCAAGATAAACAAGAGGCATCTTTTCCAGTGGCAATTAGAGTGTCGCGAGACACGTCGCAACACCAAAAGCTGTCTCGTGATTGGAGGCGAGACAGGCCTCTAAGCTCTGCCCATTTCTGAGACGTAATGCTATTCTGCTATACTGGTTATTTTCCCAACAGGTAAACAGTATTTTGGAATATGACATCCAAGATGGCTTTTGATATCTTATGGTGGGTAGTGTGATGTTATAGATATCCAATATAAGTACGAATATGCATGAAATATCCGAAGTAGGAGGAATGCATCTGGCAACTTGATTAAAGGTAACCGTCTGCTTGATTCCTGTCGCACAAGAGGTGTCACGTTTCCCGTAACTGCTGGAAAAGATGCCTAAGATGAGCGAGGGACTGAGCAGTGCTAGGCTGGGGATATTTTCGTCGGTTAATTTTTCGATTATGACAATCGGGACTTCCCAGACAATATTTATATCATCAGATTTATTTTCATGTGATGAGAACGAGTCTGATGATCAACAATTACCCAATTCCGTTGCAATCACAGCCGATGATCTTGATGTATCAAGTCCTGTTAGCAGGGGAGGGCATGAAGTGTATCAGGGAAATTATCGGGTAAAACAGGCTTAAAAAAGAATAATAGCAAACAGAAACGTGTAAAACTAGCACAAAAAACGCTAAAAATCGGCTCATGAAACGCTACGGACATGTCTGGCACCTTTGAAAGTCTACACTCTGACGCGGCAGAGTTTGAAAAATTCTACGGGAATTCAACCCATCTTTCGGCAAAACCTACGGGATTTCACACCTTCCAGACCCCCCAAAAAACGTCCTAACCCATAACCCAACCTAACCTAACAATTTACGGTGCCGTGACTAGGTGTGCCCGGGGGGAGGATTGATGGGGGGCAAGCCCCCCCAACATCCCCCGGGACACATTCGCTTCACCTAGGTATGTACGGCAAGATAGAGCTACACCCATACTGTAAACAATAAACCAAATACCTATATATATATCGAAGGACCGAACTGTCAATTTTCCTTCGCTTCTTTCGATCGGTCTATTGTGGATCGTGGATCGCTTCGTTTTTATCGCTTTTTTCAGGATTTGCGGTACTTGATGGCCTCAGAAATCGAACTGCGATAGTTATTAAGGTCTTTTTCTTCTTCGTTTCCACTAGTCTTACAACCTAGAATCGATGTAACACCAAAACTGAAACATTTCTTGCCGATCTCCTGTCACTGGACTGCCAAGGGATCATCCTATCAAACCAGGCGGAAAAATGCGAAAATGCGCCTGTGCAGAAGGTGCTTCATACCAATCTCCTTAAATCACTGTCTAATAAATCTTGAAACATGAAAATGAGGTATAACAACATTAATAAAGGCCTTTGAAAGCATATATGTGGAACAGCAGACACTGATAATTAGCCAAATATCGTTTTAACAATGGTGTAGTAATACATGAACTACTTAACAGAACGCAAGAATGAGTTGACTGGTCACTATTTTGTTTACATTCATGATGTCAACAGGGCGAGGGACTTGAAAAAGTCGTGTAACTCCTTTATTTGTGATTTGCGCACCTTTTGCCATGAAAAGTGTCTTAGTTTATGTCAAGGTAACCATTCCATATCTTTTTTTTACAGTAACCCTGATTGTTATCCGCGATAATTTTTCCGTTTCGTCATTTAGGGTGAATATTTCTGACTTTCTTACGCTCTAAAAGATGGCGTTGTTAATTTCCCTCTATAGCCGTGCGTCGCTATAAGTAACCTATACCAATATTAAGAACTCCGGCCGTGTGAGGGTGTTGTGATCTTAGTATCTGATGGATATTTCTTTTCACTATTACCCTCTAAAATATGTCAGTGTTCACTTGTCTCTATCCTCGCGCGTCGATCTCGGTAACTTAGACCGATTTTCGATTGATGGTCTTTGCCGTGACGTCTCACCCTTGCCCTCCAGAAATTCTAGACCTATCGTGTGTGGACAATTGCAGTCCTCAGGGAGCACTACCTACTAAGAAGGGTACCTTGAGTTCC